TTTTTTTTTTCAAAATTTCGGCAGAGTTTCAGAATTTTCTAAATACCTACCTACTCCTATTTTTTTTTTTTTTTTTTTTTTTTTTTTTTGATAAGGGTGAAAGACCTGTCTGTTTGGAAGGACAGAAATAAATATTGTTCCTAGATTTCAGGGTTTTGGATGCCAAGTTATTGTGGTAGTTCGATGTTGCTCCATCTTAAACTGTGCTCTACAGGGGTGTAAAGCTGCCTGCATCATCTATATGCACACAAAATCTGGGGAAATATATAATCGGTACATTTTGTTCATTATTTTCCCTGGCAAAATCTTGTCAACTTCAAATAAAAAGTTAATTCAGCGTAAACTATTATTAAAACAAGACACTCCGTTATAAAGGATTCTTAAGTAATTATAAGGTTTTTGCAGGAAGCTATAGAGTCATTGGTTGAGAGCCATTCAATGGAAAAAATTTATTCTCTAAGATGGGAGGTACTGATAATTTTGCTACTGAATTAAAAGCTGTATTCTGGTTTGTTCAACCATGGTATTCAACTTTCACAGTTGTTTATGAAAAGCGCAGGGGATCCACACAAATAGAACTGGAAAAAAGAAAAGGAACACCAATTTAAAGGAAAATCACTTAAAAGAGTTACAGAAACATCAGATGCTCAATGCGAAAGATTGTAATGATCTTTGGAAGTTTATGATGCTCCTATAGACTGGAAGCATCCTAAACTTTTGACAGTTCACCTTCATTAACAAGTCACTATGATTCTTAACGAAATAGTTAATATAGTATACCATTAACTTTAACAAGATGCACAACAAATGATTTTTAAGGTATGAAAAAATATCTACAGACCATCCCCTAGAATTTCCTTCTCTGATATGGCAAAGGCAGATGCAAAAGACTCCTCTACTACAAAGTGAAGTGACTGCACAAAAATTTATTCAGCAAGGGTATTTGAACCCCCTTGCTTAGGTTATAGTATTACATGCAACAATGGATATTTTCGCTCTTAACACCAAACAGAACCAACAAATAATAACACACTGGCTTTACACAACATTTTGTTCACATCACGTAAACACAGATATCTTTAGATACTTGAGACACGTCTTAATACCTGCCACACAGAAGGCATATACTCCCGATACAGTTGGACATTAGCACTACTTCTGATGTTTTTCGAGTCCAAGGTACTCTCAACAGACAACTGTCCTGTATTCCTGTTTGAGTTGTTGCAAATTAGAGAATGATAAATGTTAGAAAGAAAACTTAAACGTATAGTTCAGCAGTTTTAAATCATCAAGAAATTAACTTGTGAAAACAATTGCCATCAGTTTTCAATTAAATCTGGAGCAACTGAACAGTTCAACAACCATGGTATGCAGGAGTTTTCTCATTGCCAATAAAATTACACTTCACTTGATCAAATTCAAACCAGACACAAACTGGTCCTAAACTGGGTACTTCCAAGGTCGTAAACCACTATTGATGGTCTGTGGTCAATCATCTAAAGTCTCAATACATATGATGTTACTTGTTTAGTTGAAAAATCAGTCAATCAGAACACAAACTATCCAAACCAATGAGCCCAGAATATGAAATAAATCATGGCACAATGTAAGAATGACAGTATATATAGGGCTTTTGTTTTTCCATCACCTATTCAAGGCAGGATAAATTATCATATTATCAGTTCATTTGTACCCTGATTCTATTAAAAAAATGCAATACTAGATTTATATTGATTTGTTTTGGACAAAAGAAATGTAATGAAACCAACCTAACTTCGCGTGTTGTATATTTATCCTGCAAACTTGCTGCTTTTGTAGTTAGAACAAGCATCGGATGCACCAAAAGAATCTTCTGGATCTCCTGAACAACACTCTCTGACACACTTTGCAGAGAGAGGCTTTTCCTGGTACTAAGACAAATATCTAATGCTAAAACAATCATAAATTATAATTTAAGAATACGAAGCGAAAAAAGAAAGGTGCAACTTGTTCAGGAAGAAAAGGAACATACTGCATATGTGTATGCATGAGAAGTACACCAATGAGTTTCTCTGTCCTTACTTCACATTAGTTTATATGATAGGAAAATAAATGAAAGAGACACATTCCTCGTTCCTATCTCCTTACCGTTCCTTTTCCCTCCTAAGAACCAAAGTAAGTGTTGATGTAGAGAATGCTGGGTGGGAAACATGAACAGATATAAACAAGGAGAAGGGAACTCGTAATCATTAATATATAGTGCTAGAAGTATGTACTTGAATTAACGACATGCGAGGCTCCCTATCTCCATGAGAAAAGAAGAAAAAGAAATGAAAATTAAACTGTGGCTTATTAAACATAATAAGAGTTTATGCAAAAACAAAAGAAAAGACAATTAATTGTAACCTTCATTATAGGAATGGAATTACATCTAAAATGCATGCAGTAAAAGTGCTCTTAAGAAGCACCATTCTCAAACTGAAAAGTCTATATTTTAAATCTTTTAAGCACTCTCCAAGAGCTGAGGCAGGTTTGCAAGAGCTATTATCGTATATGTGAATTTAGTACAACACAACCAGCATTTTGGCATGATCAAGAATAGGTTCATTTGTTAAGATGAATCCAAGAGAATGAAATAGTAAAACAGGCTAATAAACACAAGCAGACACAGTGTGTAATAAACTCGAAATTGGTTTGACGCTCATGCAAGTAAAAGAAAGATCTAAGGAGAGTAGAATACAAATTTTGCCAGCAAGATAATTGCACATTTGCACTTCTTATCCTCTATGTTTAAATGCTGATGGTCACTTTCTAACTACTCCCTCCATTCCAATTCATGTGAATCTGTTTGACTGGGCACGGAGTTTAAGAAAAAATGAAGACTTTTGGAATTTGTGGTTCTAAACAAGTCACAAAGGGGCCCAGAGTATTTGTGTGGTTATAAAAACATCTCATTAACGGTAGAATTGTAAGTTTAAGCTAAATTATTACCAAATTTAGAAAGGGGTCATTCTTTTTGGAACAGACCAAAAAGGAAATAGGTTCACATAAACTGGAACAGAGGAAGTAATAAATAGGTAACAGAAACTGCAGCCTTACATAAAACCACGAAAAATGCTACATAGTAAGGTGCTTAAGGGGAGTACTTGGTGACATAAACAAAATTTCAGGCTTCTCCATTACTCACTCTTTTCGGGGAATTGGAGTTCATTTCAGACTGCTTCTTTCATTTGTTGTTTCTCTTTAAATGTAAGTAATTACAGTGGACTCTAACCTGTTAATCCTCCCTGGTGGTATAGACGGTGAAGCACGATCCATCCAATAAAAAGCTCCAATACTGGTCATACAAGAGAAACAACATATATTAGTAAGGTGCAGAATTTAGTTAAACCATTAAGGAGTATTAAAAGAAAAAGGAAAAGACCTAAAGAAGACAAAAGCAATAGGAACACAGACAGAATGTCTGAACACAGATCTGATGACCTAACCAATAACCACTGAATTGATACAATCCTAATGTCTGAACACAGATCTGGTGGGTTAATATAGAACAGCTAAATGGATAATTCATTGCAAGTGCAGTCCTTGTAACATAGATGTCAAATCTAGACAAGAAAAAATCTAGTCCAAGCGAAAACAGGACAAGAATATATTTCTCACCCCCAGGCCCCCTAGGGCACTGCCAAAGAAATGGACAAGGCACTAATGAAAAAAATTAACACAAACTTTTCCGATAACAAGGCACCTTTTGATAAATTGATGGTGTCCTTGGGCATTCCCCCGATAAAAAATGAACAAAATGTCATTTTAGAGAAGACAATCTTACTGGTGGTTTCTATCAGCATACCATAGGATTGGTTGTTTTAACATGGCCACATGAAGAAATTGACAAAATGCCTAAAACCAAATAAGTTAGGATTTATGCACTGGCTATTAAAGGTCGAAAACTATGCGCTATCAGGAGATGTTTGATTTAAAGGTCAAAAACTATGCACTATCAGGAGATGTTTGATTTATGTATCCATATACTTATCCTAAGAAAAATTTTATTCTGTAAGTTGATCTGAAATGCTTCATGCATAAACGAGGATAAACCTGACCCTTCTTAGGCCAATTCTGGATGTTACCATTGTTAAGCTACCTTTCCTTCTTATCTATAACTGTCTATGCATTCTTCATTTATCATGGGGATTAAACACATCTTCATCAATTCATGGATATGTTCATACATCATGTAAATGCTTTTGATGTCGATGGGATCCACTTGCTTCAGAGGTCAATCTAAGACCCCCACTGCAAGTGAAAATCCTATTCATAGTAATCAACCAATAAAACATCAAGTGTGTCTCTCTAGTATTTCTATGAAACTAAAACACCATACTTAACATCACAGAGAAGAGATCATAAGAAGAAACCTGTCAATCATAAGCAAATAAACACCAGTACCATGCGCCTCTTTTTCCTTTTGAAGTTGGAAATGCATCGTCTGCAGCAAAACGAGATTGAAAGAATAGGTGACATGCTTGTATATGAATTGAAATTTTTATATTCGAAGTTAAAGAAAGTACCTCACGTACTTAGCCAATCAAAAAGAAAGCTTTTAGAAATCCACAAAATGATAAATAATAATAAAAATTAACATGTATTCACAGAGAAAGTGTTGAATCATGTGACCGGCTCGTCTAAAAGATAATTTGTTAGAGAGGACACACTTTTATTTACTTCACTTATACCTTCAATACGCCTCCTCACATGTGGGCCTGATTCTTTTTTCATGAGTCAAGCACGTCGACATCCGTTTCTACAATGGACGATGGTGAGACTTCGAAATCAGGACCACTGCTGACCTTTGTCTAATTCTTATAAAATGTTTTTTTTTAAATGGACCTTGAACATAATGCAAGAGGGTTGCCAAAACCACGTAAAAAGACTACATTTCATATTCTTAACCAATTTGGAAACACTAACACCTCTTTGCATACCAAAGACTGGACATCTGAAATGTGAAAAAATGTATTGAGAAACAAAACAAGGACGAATGTTCTGATACAATGTTGCAATAGATGGGCATCGGTCGGTTCGGTTCGGTTATAAATATTATCGGTTTAGCATATCGGTTATCGGTTTACAAATATGATAAACCGATAACCAAACCGATAAGATATTAGTTATCGGTTATCGGTTAATCGGTTATCGATCATTATCGGTTCGGTTATCGGTTTACCCGATAAGATAACTCAATCTAGAGTTAAGCAAAAAAGAGAAGACAATCACTCGAGTTAAGCAAAAAAGAGACGAATTCACATATATAATATACTACCCAATTCTGCGCTCTAGCCACAACTAATATTTGAAGAATGTTTCATTGTGACAAATTCATGACCTGTGCAATCTCAAAAATTGATACTACAACTCCACAAGTATTCCATCTCCATTTCACTGGAAATATTAGTTAACGGGAACATAAATTACAATTTTTTGGGTTCCTACCAAACTATAATCAAGAGATCAATTATTTTCCAGAGTCCAATGGTAGCAAGAGCAATAAGAGTGCCAGTAATTCAAAAGTTGTCCAAACACAACTAAAATAGTGTTAATTCTTCAACAATCCTAATACATTAATAACAATACAAAGTAGTACCAATTTCACCTTAAAATAAAAAAGTACAAACATAATACTAAAACATGAGCATAAAATAAAGAATCGAAAACAATCAAAAATCCTATATTTTTATTATCGAACTCTACTGTAAAACTCAAAAGAAAGGAACGAAATTTGTTCTTAACAAAGAAGTAATTTTGGAATACAAATTTAAGCTAAGATTCTAAGAATGTGGTTGTACATTGAAATTTGAAGAAGAACTGTTCAAAAATTGAATCAGAGTCTGAAGAGTGAACATTGAAACTTCAATCTTGAATGCGATTGAGAAAATTAGGAGAAAAAGAGAGAATAAAGCCCTAGAAATTGGGTAAAATCCTAATTTTATTAAATCTTATTGGGTTATCGGTTAACCCGTTAAGAAATTTGGAAACCCGTGGCCCGAACCGATAACCCAATAGTGAAAAAATATAAAACCGTTACAAAACCATTAATCCGATTACCCGATATCGATACCCCAATAAGCTTTTATCGGTTCGGACTATCGGTTATACTCGATATATGCCCAGCCAAGTTGCATTGTGCGACCAACAACAATAATTATGCCTCAATCCCAAAGCAAGTTAAGTTCGATTATATGACTCCTCATTTTCCCTATTGCACTATAAACCCGTCACAGTCAAATAGCATAAGAACTTAGTTTCTCAATTACTAGAAGTTCCCTATATTTTCTACGGGCATATAAATTTCTAACAAGACCTCCTTGCAATTATTGGACCTAAGTAGACTTAGTAACATGATTAAAACTTAATCATAACTAATGACATCACCTAGATAGATTTTTTCCCATTATGCTCTAATGTTCTCTAGGTATTCATAGATTCAAAGAAATTGTAGGTCTATTGAGAGAACTTCCTTCCGATCAAGAGAGAATAGGAAAGATGACTTATTAAAAGATAAAAAAAGATAGGTAAATAGATAAAACACGGATATTTTCCCTGAAGTAGATAAAAAAATAAAATACGGAAATTAAAACCTTAGAGATCATTCTAACTCACCTTAAGAGTGGCAAGAAATTCGAAACTATCATAACAGCGTATGTACAAGAACCTTCTCATGCTGACCGCGAACAATTCTTCGTCATATTCTGCGTGCACATCCTTTGATCCAATAGGAGAATCGTCCACTTTATTTAGCTTGTGGCCTACATCATTGCCTGATTAGACAAAATAAACCAAAGACTAGTTGCATCAAATGTATGAGGCCTTAAACATATTAATTACTAGCTTTCGGGTAAGGAAAAAAATAATTAAAACTAGTACTTTTTTGTCATTCTAAAGAAAATTACCAGCTTTCTACCCTTATCATTATATGTGTCTGTGTGTATGTTCATTTGTGCAAAGGCGAGCCTTGGCACATCAGCAAATTTACTCCTGTGGAACCTGTAGGACAAGGGTTTGAGGCATAGAAGTAGCCTCTTCGCAGAAGTGCTTAGAACATTATCCCCCTACCCCACTGTCAGGAAGCATTTTTTGCAGGAGGTAAGTCCCTATTCTGCCTCATTTTGCACCTTTCCTCGCTAAGCCTTGAGATAGTCACTTGAATTGCACTTTGCACTGATCTATCAGAATTTGGAACCTTTATGGTTTTCACCCTTGGACAACACTATCTCTACTTTCTAGTTTCTCTTATGAAAATTCTGAAGATGGATACTGGTTACTAGAAAAACACCAACTCCTACTATTAAGGGAGCATATGATAGCTCTCAGCGCTTATCAATTTTTCAGTGATACCTAAATGCTTCATTTTTGTTTTTTTTTCCCGTTGATAAGTCAAGGAAATGTCACCAATATGCATCAAGGTGATGCCAGATTATATGGATACAAGTGTTCAATGTTAAACTCTAAAAATTCTATCAACTATCTACACATACAAGAATCTTTTATTTACACCAAAAGTATAACCAGAAATCAGAGCTGTCGATCTTCCATATGGGTCTGTCAACTCCTTCAAACGTCCTCCTGTTTCATTCTTTACATATCATCCAATGAATGCTTAACAGTGCAAATTCCAAACTTCCTTGTTTTCCTTCCCTATCCTGCTCGTCTCCAGGGCATCAGCAACTCTTAAGGGAGTAACCGTGATATATTAAACATGGAATACACCAAGCTACATAGCTCCACAACATAAAAAAATGAGGGGCAAATGCTTAGAGTCCTTCCCTTCTTTCTTGCACATACACTAACAACTCATCATTATAAAACTCCACTTGAAATTCTGTTTTTTTATTGGATTTCACCAAAGGGTCACTACTAATTCTGTGCTACATATATTTTATCTTGCTTTCGAATCTTCTGTGCAGTTACTGAAAGTTTTAAACTTTTTTTTTTCAAGAAATGTTATCCTGTAGAGCTTAGAGGTAAATAGCTAGCCCTTCACCTCGAACATTTGAAATTATGATCAACACAAGTTCCTCAAGATTGGAATCTGCAGGCAATTAGAAGATGTTCCAAAAGCAAACAGAAGAGTGGCAGCTTAGTTCATGAAACTATACTGCATTTTCCGAATTGGGTTATGCTTCTTCAATTACATTACGATGAATTCCGCCATTCTAACACCAAAATAAACAATATCCATTTACTTTTCAGCCAGCTTGTCAAGATCATAACATCACGGACGGCAAAAATGGATATTGTTGATGGATTTTGTAAAAGTTATTATCGACACTCAGATACATGCTCTTTACTTTGAAGTGGCCATGAGTTCATTGCTACATGCTCTTTCTTTTAATTTATAAAGAGGGCTCATTGTTACAAGAGTTGAGGCGTTGGTCTACTTTGTACGTATAGATGATTGGCTACATTTTGGGAGGCTTAATGTGTGTTTATACTATATAATTCTTTAAATTCAATGCCAACTTGTTGTGCTATCAATAATTACTTTGATTAATCGCAAAAGAAAAACAAAAAAATGTTTTGAAACTATTAGCAAAAAAAGTAACCATACACCTCCAGCAATTGACTAAACTATAAAATTAAAGCCCCCCCAAGTCTAAACGAGGGAATTCCAAAATACAAAATAAATAAGCTCAAGAGTAAGCATCTACCATTTTCTTTAATGATCCGCTGCTTCAGTGATTGTGAAAGGCTTAACACATCAAAACGACAATCCAGGTCAATAAACATTACTAATCGCTCCAAACCTCCATAGTTGATGCCCTTCCATGCCTTAGGCAAAATACAATTAATAGCAGCCTAGCATTGAACCAAAAAAAAAAAACATTAAGCTTATAAATTGAAAAGTCATATAATCCAAAGACTATGGTATTGATGCTTTTTTTTCATACTTACATTAGGTTTGATATTTGTTAGAAATCCTTTTAAGCAAGTTAGGGACGTTGTATAGGGATATGTGAGAGTTTTAGAGACCTCCTTATTTCCAACATAAATTGTTTCCCTGGCCATGAAGAATTATTCCAATATTTGCAAATACTAGTTTGGTCATGTCATTTGGGGAACTTCAAGTGAACCACTGAAAGGTCGGTAATAATGTGCATTTCAAGTGAAGCTTTTCAACTTCCACCAACAAATCTTCAACTTTTTTTTTGATGACTGAGAAATCCGTCTAGGGGCCGATCCTTTTGGACCAACCGCAGTCTTTGAAACTCGGTGGATAATGGGCCCGCCCTATTCCAATATTTGCAAATACTAGTTTGGTCATGTCATTTGGGGATCTTCAAGTGAACCACTGAAAGGTCGGTAATAATGTGCATTTCAAGTGAAGCTTTTCAACTTCCACCAACAAATCTTCAACTTTTTTTTTTGATGACCGAGAAATCCGTCTGGGGCCGATCCTTTTGGACCAACCGCAGTCTTTTTTTTTTTTTTTTTTTTT